AGAAGCAACAACGTCAGCATAAGATTTCGAAACTGGTGGATGGACTTTACTGGCTTCTGAATAAGATATAGAGTTTCTAGCCATTGTTTCTTTTATAGCTTTTTGCCGGACACTTTTTGTCTGTTGCGAAATGGGAACCAGAACATAAGATACACACAGCATCATCTCTTTCAGTCTCGCAGCTTATACCTGAATGGTTGTCACCACATTTGTAACACCTTGGAGAGCCTTTGCATTGCATTTTGGTGTGACCAAAATGGCGGCAATTAAAGCATTGCAGGGTGGGATAAATATAAAGCTCTACAGATAGGGAGTTGAAACATATAAAGACCCTGGGAGGTAACACCTTCCCATCAAAGGTTAAAACTACGGTCTCAGTTGGAATGAACTTGGGCGTCTTGCCGTCATATACCTTTCTGTTTAATCTCCGAACTTTCAAAATACTTCCACAGTTCTGCGGAAGGTCAATATTTTCCATTATATCTTTCTCGTCCCAGTCACATGGAACACCTCTCACTATTCCCATGCGGGTGATAGTGAAGGCCGAAATAAATGCTTGTGATTTAGAAATGTGTTAGCATCCTAAAATCTTTCAAATTGTAAAGACAATCTGTTCTTTCCAATTTTTTTGATGCTTCCCTCTACAATGCTTTTAATTAAACTTTTTTTAAGGAAAAATCCAAATTGTACTGGGTGAATAGATCCGGTTTGATTTGGTTGTAAGATTTTTTGAACATGGACGACATAAGGCGCAGGATCTGACGCCTGGTAAAGCGACCTAGCAGCGCGAGGGTTACTTGTGATATTGTTAGAGTGAGCGGCTTCATTATGGTGGATTTCATTGTTATTATCATCAGACTCAAACATTTCAGTAATAACATTATCCTTTAAATCTTTAGGGGAAAGTTAGCAATCTGATAGACCCGTATGTCTGTGATTCCTTCTCTTCTTTTGGTTTCTAGCTGAGATTCTCTTTCTTTTAACCGATTTCGTGTTTTCCGAACAGGCTGTATCTATAATTGACCCTGGAGGGATGTCCCTCCAGGGTCTTCGGGCTCCAATATGGATGCCAAGAAAAATATCCTATTTACATATAATACACCTGATAAGTCATTTCGACTTATCAGGTGAAGAAAACAAACTAAAACTATAAATAATCAACAATAACTACTAATATATATACTTTACAACTTAACTGATCCTGTAATATCAAATTAATTTAATTTTCAAAAGTTTAACCAAAAAAAGGACGCCCGCCTACATCAAAATTTCCCGCGCTTTTTCTAAAATTGCATTGTAATAGCGATATCTACTTCATTCTAAAGATAAAGTCATTTTATCGAACAAAAATTGATTGATTGACTCTCAAGGTGTTCCACGAATCGGTAAGATATGAAATTGTGGATTGTTAAGAATGGTTTGGATATAATAATTTTATTCAATATAATTAATTTTGTTTATTTGATTATTTTTTTAATGTTAACAGTTAAAAGTTACCTCAACCATCTTCAAAGCACTGCATACAGAGGAGAATGAGATAATAAGAATCTCTATATACTGTACTAGCTGTGCCCCGCGATTTCACCCGCGTGTATCACGCGTCTGAACCGCGCGACACGACACCTCGCTAATAGAGGCGTTCACTACTAGTTTTTCTCGATTCTAGTCGTTTGGTAGTTCCAGAGTTTAGCGTGTTTAAACAAACAAAAAATTTCACTATATTATAGATATAGATAGATAGGTATATATAGATTCTATCTCATTCTCTCGCGGGCTAAATCATATAGATGTATATTATGTTTGTCTCTTTTTAGTGTCGCTTTTTCGTTTCATCGCGTTTCAAAACACAACGATACTAAAGAAGTTGCAATTCAAAAAAAATTAAGTCTTCGTTATAACTACCCCACGAGCCTTATTTTGACTGCAACAAAGCTCCCTGCTGCTACGTCAGTGAGCAAGCCCAGAGGCTCTTATCTGATTGCTTTGGGATGCTAACGGGTTAGCTGAACTAACATATCTAGTCTCTATCGATGATGTGGTATTTTGTTAAAAAAAAAATAACGTCGAATCGAACATATTGCGCATAGGATCATCTTAAAATTAGCTAATGGATCAAGTAACTTCACACAGAACCTTTCAAACACGTAAAAACACCACTAAGCAGTTAATGGTTGATTTACACAGGGTCAGTTACTGGCTCCAAATTCCAGGCAAGCCAGTGCTTACCCGATACTGACTTAATGTAAATTGATTTGGAGTCAGTACAGGGCTGTCGCGCCAGTGCTGACTTCAATATTCCTGCTTGAATATTTTGAAGTCAGTCCACTCCCCTCGCCACCCGTGCCAGCGTTATTGACCTTGTCGAAACGACCAACTCAGTATTTGGTCAGTTGGTGGCGTAGCATTGTAGGGTGACGTCGCGTCACCAACAAAGCAGAACCTCTAGTTTCTTTTCTGTCATCTATCCATTTTTTTTATTCAAAGTAGTTTCTTTTTAAATATTTCTTCTTCTAACATTTCCGTCAACTCTTTCAACATCAGATAGGAACATTTTTGCAATAAATATTTCAATCGTTGTAAAATTGTTTCCGTGAATTCGTTTCTGCCCACTAACTTCAATAACGTGCGTACACCCTGAAGAAGTTACCACGACTACTAACTGCATGTAAACAGTGCTAGTTAGCCCTCGGAGCCAGCACTGGGGCCTGTTATTGCCCCCGTGTAAATCAGCCTTAACTCATAGATCACCCCTTCATGACTATGACATAAATAAAACAAATCGAATTACCTTTCTAAAGCATCTAAAACGACTGAAACGATAGAGCCTACTGTGCATAACACACATCCCATTTTAGATCACTAATAACAACAAACTCTGAATAATTTTGTAACTAAAACTTGAATGATTTTGCTACATTTTAATTCATCGGATTCCAAAGAAATAACCTAATATTATTAATGTCATTTTGTACAGATTCTGTCTGTTAGCCATTTGCAAATCACTAAAAAGTTTTTATGGAAAACAAGTGCAAAAAAACAAGTTATCATTAGAGAATGTAATCTAGAGATATAATACATAGAATATACTGGCGTACTAAGTCTATGGTATAGTATATGACCAATACATTTTTATAAATTAAGATAAACGCCTTTTCGCAGCAGCATGTATTTTGAATAAAGTTAAACCTCTTATCTACTGAGACATCGGAATTTTTATCTGATTACTGCTGAAGCTTCTTTGTGATACGTTATACAAAAAACGTCTTCTATTTTCACTCAAGACCCTAAGAGAAAAACTGTCTGAGTCGTTAGGAGAACGAAAGGCATTTATGAGCGAAGAACTATCTTTACTATTGCCTTTCAGAGGTCCAGTTAATTATGCCTTAAATAAAAAAACATTATATTTGAAAAGAGGTAAGAAAACAAGTAGAACTATTAAACTGTGGTACAGACGGATTAGTAAGTTGAAGTGGCAATGGACCGGCCATATAGCTCGAAGAACCGACAACTGAGGGGGAAAAAGGTACTCAAGTGGCAGCCTCGTACCAGTAGGCGAAGTGTTGGACGACCCCCACTGGATGGAGTATTGACCTGGTAAGACATGCAGGAAATCGATGGATGCAGTTGGATCAGGAACGTGCTTTGTGGCATTCCTTGGGGGGAGGTCTATGTTCAGCAATGGACTTGTGAAGGGCTGTAATGATGATGATGATGACAGACAAATAGCTCTTTCCTTGCATAAACTTTTCAAGCATAATTGTCACCTAATGTGGAAACTCTTTATTCATTGGGGGGTATATGCTCCTTCACTGCTGGCTGGATGAGGAAGCTCAAGATTGCTCAGCGAGCTATGTAGAGGGCTGTGCTCGGAGTTTCTCTGCGTAATAAACTTAGAAATGAGGATATCCGCAGTAGAACTAGAGTGACCGACACAGCTCTACGGATTAGTAAGCTGAAGTGGCAATGGGCCGACCATATAGCTCGAAGAACCGACAACCAATGGGGAAAAAAGGTTCTCGAGTGGCGGCCTCGTACCGGCGTACGAAGTGTAGGGCGTCCCCTCACTAGATGGAGTGACGACCTGGTAAGACATGCAGGAAGTCGATGGATGCAGGTGGCTCGGGACCGTGTTTTGTGGCATTCCTTGGGGGAAGCCTATGTTCAGCTGTGGACTTGTAAAGGATTGTAATGGTGATGATGATGATGATGTGGAAACTCCATATTTCTCCCACTTTCAAGAGAATTATTACGCCCATGTAGCCAAACGATGCTAAGAACTCCACTTATAAATCCCAGGAATGAGACCCCGCTTCCAAAGCCTTCTCAAAACGGTAATCGAAAATGGAAAGATTTCCGATAGAACCCCGATCCCAATGGGAGTCCTGTATTTTTTTATAGAAGAGGGAGTAAAGAGCATGCGATTCACTTGTTGGTGAGTGACCACCCCTACTTATGAACAACTGCAACACCAGAAGAAATGCAGTTACATTGATGCCTTTATAAGGAGTAGGGTCTTTTCTTGAAGGTCCTTAAGTCGTATTGGCTTGGAAAAATCGCTGGTGGTAGCCGATTCAGCTCTGTCTCGCTAGCAACGCAAAGTGAGGAATTTGCATGTAGAAATAGCCAAAACTAGGGACTTTTAGGTGCTAATTAGGTGCCAAGTTTATAACATAAGTTGCTCTAAAATTTACTCTAAATAACGAATACGATGGTGTGGATATTTTTGTCTGCTATAAGCACCACAGACATCATATTACAAATAAGTACTGCTGGATGCAAAAATTACCGAACTAAATTCATCGTTCGTCTATTTGTTAACATCATAATTAGTGTTTGCCACAGGGTTTCCTCTACAATCCGACATGCGACAACGCAGCTCTATTTTGAGTTTTGGCATTTTTGAAGTGTCACTTATCAATACTGTCAAGTGTCACATCAAATCATCAAATGTCAAAAAATATCATTACCTCCTTCCTTCCTTCCTTCTGTAGTTTTACATTATGGCAGATGAAAACATTAAAGAAAAGAAGCAAGAAATTAAAAAGGCCAAACGTATTCCAAATAAAAATTATGCTATTAAAAAACGATTACCAGTTCGACCAGTCGAGGGTAATAATGTAATATTTATTACTAAAAAGACAAATTTTAAGGTATGTTTACTTAGGTACGCCAACGACTTCCAATTTTATATATACTTACACACGTTTTATAAATAAAAGATGTATATCAAAACTTTTAATTACGGAATTTGTTTTCAGGCGCAGTTGGATAAATGTTGTGATCTTTTGACAAGAGGTGAAAAAGAAATAATTCTTCATGGTTTAGGAGCTGCAATACAAAGGTGCTGTAACTTAGCACTGCAGTTAGAGACTCTCTTTTCTGGTGCCTGCCAACTTGAAGTGAACACTGGCACTGTTGACCTTATCGGTAAGCACTAATTACTTTGAATATGCTATTGATAAACTTATACTTTTAAAAAAATCATTTACTGAATACAGATGATCTGGAGCCGTTGGTAGATGACTTGGATTTTGGTGCCCAAGTGCGACACTCATCTTCCATTCACATCCGAATATTTAGAACTGCAATGCTTGGTGCAAATCAGTAACAATGTTTTTCACACTGAAAGAGATAGTCCAGTGGATTGGATTGACCGTATTTGAAATATGGATAAACTTAATTACATTGACTATATTCTCAGTACTGTTAGCTATGAAGATTGATGGTGTTGTGAACAGTGCTTGGTGGACTGTCTTTGCCCCACTGTTTGTGAGTGATGCAATGAATGCTTATTTTTGTTGTATAGTATGTATACGTATGAATTTTGAAAGTTCTTACCGAGCATCACTGTATAGAGCCTCATGGAGTGGAATTTTCTTAGGTCTAACTTTTGTATTTAAGTTTTTACTATGTAGAAAACTGCAAGGTGATTCAGCAATAGAATACAGTGAAGTTTTTGCACCTTTGTTTATTTTGCTGCAGTTAATAGCTGTAAGAGCTTGTCAGTTACACCAATAAAATGAACTGTAATGTTATATCAATTTGTAATATTAAATAAAATATCTGTAAAATGTGTAAGGTAATTTTTATTGTAACATCAAAAAATCACTTATTGTATTACAATAATATATTAAAAATTTAACAAAATTACTGGCTTAACGGAACATACTAAACAATCCTCCTCTATTCTTCTTCTCTTCACCACTAAAGTTAAAGTTGAAGTTCCCACCTGTATTTTGAAAATTGGAATCTGGCTTAGTTTCAGCTGACGACCATCCAAAAAATGAAATTCCTGTTTTACGTACACCTAAAAGAATGTAAATTTTATGTATATAATGCATACAAACTTTTACAGCAACTGCTTATGGTTTATTGAAATAAAAATACCTGACATAAAATTAGGTACCTCTTGTGAGGTTACTGGTATATTATTATCATCAGCTACTTCCATTGGCACATCAGCTTTTGGTGATAACAAGACACTAGAATCTATAGAGTAACATTAAAATAAATAATTTTGAGGGAATTAATAATGTATTTAATCTAATTATTAAAACATTTTATAGTATGTAAGTTACCAATGCAATGTGGAAAATCTCCATCACCCTCTTCAAATCCAGTAGTACTTTCTGACAAATTTAGGGAATCAGGTATCCCTTGGGATCCATGGTTGAACAGAAATCCAGTTATAGGTTTTTCAATTTCTTGATGGATCTGAAATTGGATGTTTAAATTTGGTGTTTTTTTTATATAAAATTTCATGTTCAGGTATTACAAAACTTACCTTTGGACTTGACATCTTAATTTTTCCCACATTTGTATCCAAATAATTGCTACAATTATTGTCTTGTTGCTGTGTGGATTCATTATCCTCTTTATTGATGTCTTTTTTGTTTTTATCATTATTATCCTTTTCAGATTCTAAACTAGGTTCACAAATTTTACTACTCTGCTGGTCAAAGAATTTAGATGTTATAATTTTATCTTTATCTTCCATCATCTGTAATAGATATGACTTTGCAAAAAAGAACTGTTAATTTAATGTATCACAAATTAAAAAATTTATTACCTTATGTGTGATAGAACGCTTAGTATATACAAACTGTGGTGACAAATCTAAATTATGTTGTTTTAATATTTTGTCTTTTATTTTACCAAAGTCTTCTTCAGTAATGGAACTCAAATCGCCTTGGCTTGTCAAAGTTTCATTATTTTTACTGTCGTCAATGTTTTCATTATTTGACTGGTCTTCAACTCCTTGACAGTCAATTGGATTTATTTCCATTGACAAATCAAATGAGACTTTTTTCTTGTCTTGTGAATTCTAAGTAATTTTATAGTTAATAAGCATGACACTAGTTTAAAGAAAAAACTGATATATTGTATTTTTACCTTAATTTCATCTATAAACTGTGTAGGTGGCACAAGGATTTCTCCTCCTTCTTTATTACAGTTGACTTCTTCACATACCTCCATCTCCAATTGTTCACTCACCTGTAATACTCAATCTTTACTATTTTAAAATTAGTGTTTTTTTTTTTTAATTAATATCCTTTCTGAACTAAATGCAAAGTAAATATTTTAAAGATATCTTTATCTTATATAGGGATAGAGTCTATAAAATATTTATTCTTTAATGTTTAATAATATATTTCGGATAAAATTTATTCTGTTACCTTATCATCAGATTTTTTACTTATTATCTCATTAGGTTCTCCAGTTATTTCAGATCTTATGAAATCAACATTATGAAGTTGATTACGATTAACTTTTGAAATTATATTCAGGGTATGATCTTTCTCAAGCCTAACATCATCTAAAATATGGATCAATTTTTTATCAGAATAATTTTTATGTTTAGTTTCTTGATATTCAGTCCTTTTAATATTGAAATATGAAGAAGTACATTCATCACTTATCTCATTTTCACGTTTATTTTTAATTCCTTCTATCATTGTAGCGTTTTGTTGTTCAGAACTCAACAAACCAACTTTTTTGATCTAAAATTCATTTTCATATACATATTTCAGTTATTTATTATTTTATTTCAACGTTCAATTAAAAAATGACTCACCTGATCTAATTTTACACTAAGGATGTCTAAGTCGACGTCCAGAAGTTGAAGTCTTGGCATCTGAAAGTTGCATTTTATTTTATTTTCATAATTTAATGTAATCTAACATATTTGAGATACTGTGGCATACCACAATTGCATCATTTTCATTTTTACATAAACTGGGCCAATTGTCATCCATATTTTTTTTAGTTTGCTCTTTTATTTCTTTATGCGGACGTTGCTGTATATCTATCGTGTCTCTTAGTTTAGAAAACGGATTGATCTTAGCTTCCTCTTCTTCTAAGACATTTATTTCTTTTGTCAACTCTTCAATTTCGTTGCTCATATCATGTATAGTTTTTAATAATTTAGGCTTATCCTTTACTAAAAATGTTGCGAGATCAATTATTAATTTTTCGTCCATTTCCAATAATGTGTTTTTCTTTCTTTTAATTTCTTTCTGAAGACTTTCAGATTCACTCATTAAACTTTTTATGTTAACTTGAATTAACTGACTTCTATTTTTACCCTGAAGACATTTTTGAACATAAGGAATGTTTTCGTATCGACTTTTACTTGTTAACCAAAGTTGTTCATACTTTTTCTCGCCCAGTTCAATTCGTTCCCTTATTTCTAATTTTTCTGCTTTCTTAAGTAACCATTCTTTTCTCATTTCTATGTTTGCAGATTTTATAGTCTCATGAGCAATTAGAAGACTGAAAATAATAATGAAAATAAAAAAGGCGTCATTGAAATGTGAGGTTTTTTCACATTTGTTATTTTTACTCCGCATGCAAACAATAATATCTCCACTAAATAGTATTGTAGGTATTGCACCGAACATGGTATCAATACGATATATTTTTATAACATGATACATCATTGTAAACGACATCTTGGTAACGTAGTGGCTAAAGGTTAGTGTGGAATTGCGGGCTGCGGGTTCAATTCCCTTACGTAACCTACTACGACTAGTCATAGTGTGATCCATAGTGTTGAGTATGACATACAAGAAACAGTTCATTTGATCCGTACATGACGAAGCAATGTAAAAGCGGCTCAACATTTTGACTATCTACTTGAAATTTTATGTTGAGTAACGCTTTACTTGTCACATGTGAACTATAGAAGGAGAGTAAGAGAGAACGAAGTACCTACATGCTGCAATAACACGCACGTCCTTATTCAACCCACATTTACGTGACCAAGAGAGATTAGTTCTTGCAATTCACGAAGTCGAGCAGGCTTTACTCGTGGTCGAACGAAGTACATGGGCATTGCGATAGCACAATTTAAAGAGCTAACGGTTCCGAAACGTCTTTGATGTCAGGCTATGCCGTCGCACGCGTAGGTATTTACAACTTACGCCATCATTGCAAATATTATGCTAGGGGTTGTCACGGAATTTGGAATAATAATGTAGGATTTTATAATACTCAAACTGTGCTGCTTTTGGTTTCACGCACACTTTGACATGCATACAGTTACGTGTATACTGCAAGTAAGGCCCACTCGACTTGGTAAATTGAGAGAACTATACCATTTTTTTTAAAATACATGTAATTTATTGTATAATTATGTTTTATTTTGAATTAATCTACTCAAATAATGTTTTACAAATACGTCACTTTTACAAAAATGTTACAATGGAGGATAAAATCTTAATTCATCCATTGTCAATCGCTTCTTATTACTTTGCAACAAGTCTTACGTTAATCACACATTGTAAGCTAGGCTAGGGTAATATAATTATAGCAAAAAGTACATCAGTAATCGTTACTTTAAATTAGAATTCTTTATTTTAGCTTCAAATGTATCGTCAAACTTCGAAACGCGACATTCCGACGAGACAACGGGACATTGCTCAATACAAAACAGAGGCTACTCTACTCTTACAAACTCATTTTTTAATCGTGTCTATCTCAACACATGACCTTACAAATTAATAATTACCCTTAATAATTAATTTATGCAGTTAAAACATCTCCACGACACGAGGTTCCTTGTGTAGGGGTTGAGTATTTTTTTTATAAAAAAAAATATTGTACGTACAAAATACATTAACTAGAAAGATTTTTATTTTTACATACTTCTTGATTTCTTGTTCAGCAAGTTTTATTTCAGCTTCCAACTTTACATTTCCACTACTGATAAAACTGCAAATTTCTTTTTGTTGTTTCGTTTGCTTCTTTAATTTATCAACTAAGAATGCTTGGGCTAAAAATATAATAGTAACTTATTTTTTTCGTAAGTAAACAATTTTAATAAGTAATTTAAACTGATTTTTTTTTTATTGTAGAACATTTGAAAGAGGGAGAAAGAGAATAAGTGTTATATTTTATTACTAGGGATCCACTCCGTCTTCGCCTGGGTAGGATATATTAATTTGGCGTTATTTAGAGATTTATGATAATTATCAAAGACCATAAATATATTATCAATTTATTGAGATTTCTCAAAAAATATTTGGGATATTTTGTAGTTTGAAAATTGAATCTATATTCTATACCTGACCTTTCCGACGATAAAATATCCTTAAATTTGCAATAAAAATTATTGAACGTCACTTATCGGTTAAAAACTATCCTACCTCTCAAGTTGGAGCAAGCAATACACATACATACATTTACAAACATTTACATTTAAAACAAAATCATTAACATCGGTTGAGCGGTTTCGGAGATTAACGTGAACGAACATCGTGACAAAAGAAATCTTCAAGGATAGATTCATAATTAACCGATTCGTTGCGGCACCAATTTTCAACAACTTTTAGCTGTGGCGGCGAACAAATATTTCACGACACGCTGGGCGTGTCATGCGCCATGTGTAAAAGTAATGTTCTTTTTTATGCTTTTTTTACTTGTTTAGACCTAATTAAGTTTATTTGACATCAAATATAAGTTATAAATTGAAGGATACTTGTTTTTAGTAGGTAACTACGTGTTTTTTTACGCGTTTTCTTTGAAATTGAGAGAAAGTGACTTTTTTTATGAAGAGATTGCAAACCTTTAGTACTATTTTTTGTTGTTATAAAAAAATCATTTATATAAGTAGGTACAGCTAAATCACCCTGGAAACCTTGGTTTTTATTACATTAAATTTTCACCTAATAATAACATTTGTAAATATCAAACAATGAAGAACCTTAATTTGAAAAAAAAATAAGGTATATCATTCATTGATATTTACAAATGTTAAATATTATTTAATGTTATACAAATGTAAAAGTAAAGTCGATCTGAAAACGTCTAATTAGTAAGAATAGTAAAACAAGTGTTTTCAAAAGGAAAAAAACGCCGGCGCTATGCGGCGGCGGATTGACAAGACTATTTATTAGCGAACTTTTTTTATGCATGAACGGTTTCGAACTGTTTCAAGCAAAAATAAACCTTATACCATATCACAAGAGCACATGGTACTTCATAGGTCTATTCGGCCATATGATAGTAATAAGACGGCAGTTCAACCATTTTAAGCAAAATTAAACAATAAGACAAACGCATTGTTTTTTTTAACAGGAGACTTGTTTTCCAGAAATTTATTTACAACTTGAGTTTGTGAGCGATCGCAATGAGTGCTATTATTTGTTACTTATTAGACAATTTTTCCATAACATTATTTAAAACCCACAAAGTAAAAATAGTACCATGTACACGTTAAAAAAAGGTTGTCAACCCCTAAAAATTTCAAATTTTCAAAATATCCAGAAACGACGCTGCATGCATGAACTACTCGCAAAATAATAAATATTTAAAAATTTGAAATTTTTAAAAAGACACGACTCGCGTGTCATACGCCACACACAAAATTAATCGATGGCACGCCTGGAGTGTCACCCGCACTGAACCGGTTAAGATGCCAAAAACCCAAAAAATCGATTAAGTTGTATCAAACAACTACGTGAAGTAGCAAAATCCTCCATAATACAATATTGGTTAATATGTCTACTCCTGGTGAATATTAATTATGAGAAATATAAGAAACGCAATATGAGAAAATTAAAATCAAACTTTTATAGTTCGTATTATTATTCGTGTAAGTAGCCTATACGAAAATTTTAATAGTGAAAAACGCATGAACAAGATATTACCTTTTATGCATTGATTAGAAAAGATAATCTTTATTTGCGACTCATCAACTTCTGTAAATATTTTTTCTAATGCTCGCACATCATTGGACTCCGCCATTTTATGAAAAACACTCCCTGATCCCAGAACACTACTTCCAGAAAACACCCAATACCAATACAATATAATTATTTGATAATTGACGAAGGTTGGCGGGAAACTACGCAGAAAATTAGTTTTTTTTTTTTTTATTTCAGCCCAGCGGCAATAGTTGCACACTTTTCGACACAGGATTTAAGCGGTCAATAACAATAATAATAGTTCAGGTGTAAGATTGTTTTATTTCTCAAAAGAGTTTATATTTACAAAGTTATGTTTTTTTTTTTTTACATAGGAGAGCGGGCAAACGAGCATGCGGCTCAAGTGATGGTCAACACATCAAGGAAAACATTTTTATAGCTCGTAGGTAGATTTTAATATTACTTACATAAAACTCAACCCCTAAACAAAATACGCTTATATTGTAAAGTAACAAAGAACAAGCGTACCTAGATGTGAAGGATAGATGCATTACATTTTGCATAGACTTAGAATATACGGAGGTAATCTATGGAATATACACATTGTCTGCTTTAAAGTTAGAAATTAATTGTGTGTGTAAAAAATATTTTTGACTTATTTTATTGCTTTTGGTAACAGATTATATAATTTTGCTCCTTCATACATATATACTTTTCCATAGTATGTATATAATTTTATCATACATATATAATTTTAGGCCCTGTTATCTGCCTCTGCTGTTTTTCAATTTGAAAGTTATGATTAGCCAGTGTAATTACATTTATTACAGGCTGTAACACATTTCATCTTAATCCCTAAGGTACCAATAGCATTCTTTTTAAAGAAGTAGGTTTCACTATAAACTCATTTCAATTTCATACCACTGTATAAATAACTTATTTTCGCCAAAGGCGATGACAGCAGTAAAATCTGGTCTGTTAGCAATAACGATAAAATAATGTTAAATGGAACTCTTATAACCAGACACTTTCATTGTAATTGTGGGATACCGAATTTGAATACCTAGAATTTGAAAGCGAATAGAGAGGAAATACTTTTTTTTTTCAAATTATGTTGAGGAACCTTCTCAGAAATGAGAGGAGGCCTGCGCCACACTACAGGCAAATTACTTAAACAAAACTTGCGCACCGTGGAACATAATGGTGCAGAAAGACAAATTTCTCTTCATTTTCAGACATTAGTTTACTCTTATTCTTCATGTAGACAATCCCAGCTTCAGAGAATAGACGCTCTGATGAATAAACACTACTTCCTTCCCGGCCGGATACTTTTGCCTAATATTCGGCTATTCGGTCAGTAAGTCCCCAGAATAATAATAATTTCTTCCAGACCAGAATTTCGGTCACGGCCGCCAGCCTCTACGAAGATTAGTCATCGGCGCAGGACAGGATTATAGTGTCCAAGAGTACGCGCAAGCACAAGTCCACTTAAGTACTTAATTACAATAGAACAATTTAAATCTCTAGAATTTAAAACAGTTCTATTATTTAGCAAAAATATTAGAATTACTTCTGGAAACAGATACGTTGTGCATTTGATGGTTAACAATTGTTACGGCAAGCGGGCGAGAAAATATCTAGTACCACATATTTTTAACGAGATATTTTATGAAGACGAATGAAAAACAAAGAAATATTTAAAAGGAAGTCGACAGCATGGTTGCTGGATAATTATACGTGTAATAGTTAATACTGTCTAAATAAAAAAAAAGTCTTAATTAATATTTATATGTGTAATTATTTCTACATCTTTCATTATTACAGCCCTTCACAAGTCCACTGCTGAACATAGGCCTCCGCCAAGGAATGCCATAAAGCACGGTCCTGAGCCACCTGCATCCATAGACTTCATGCATGTCTTACCAGGTCGTCACTCCATCTAGCCGTGGGACGCCCTACACTTCGTCCGCCGGTACGAGGCCACCACTCGAGAACCTTTTTTCCACATTGGTTGTCGGTTCTTCGAGCTATATGGCCGCCCCATTGCCACTTCAGCTTAATATTGCGTTGGGCTATGTCGGTGACTGGTTCTACTGGGGGTATCCTCATTTCTAAGTTTATCACGCAGAGAAACTCCGAGCATAGCCCTCTCCAAAGCTCGCTGAGCGACCTTGAGCTTCCTTATCCGGCCAGCAGTGAAGGACCACGTCTCAGATCCATAAGTCATCACTTGCAATACGCACTGGTTGTGTTTCTTGCTTTCAACAAAAAGTATGTGTTTGCGGTAGATAGTGTGGTTTTTAACTGGAATGCAAGGTGGATATACTAAATACTCCTACTATCTTTGCCTGTGGGATAGTAGGAATGATGCAGCTCACTGCCACTAAAATTATTGGTTGGCCTGAACGTATACTAAGTACGAAGTAGGAAAATTCAATATTAAATGGGAAGCAATTATTGATCTTAAAAATATATTAATGCCGCCATTGCATATTAAATTGGGTCTTATTAAACGATGTGTAAAGGCTCTTAATCATGAGTCCGAAGCTTTCAAATATTTCAAGAGATTTTTTTCCAAAGCTTTAAGAAGCGAAAATTAAAGCTGGAATCTTTGTAGGCCCTCAAATAAAAAAAATATAGATTTCCCGCGGTTACTTAGCGATGATGAGAAAAAAGCCTGAAACAGTTTTAAGGCAGTCGTTCATGGTTTTCTTGGAAAATTACTGAAAATTATGAAGAGTTGATTACTGACATAATTTCGAATTTTTGTATCATCGGATGTAGAATACCTCTAAAGATGCACATGTTACATCCTCATTTGGATAAATTTAAGGATAATATGGGAGCTTATTCGGAAGAACAAGGGGAACGCTTCCATCAAGACATCATGGAATTTGAGAGACGTTACCAAGGCCAGTACACCGAAAGCATCATGGATTGGGGTTAATAAGAGGTACTTCTGCTGAACATAACAGGAAAAGAAAATTAGTTCATTTTTAAACATTTAGACTATTTTAAGACCAATAAATCATAAATGGACGTGCGTTATCTTTTAATAAATCATTTCTATATACAGATTTTATGTCAAAGTTAAAGTTACAGCCTATATACACGTCCCACTTCTGGACACATGCCTCCTCTCATTACTGAGAGGGTTTTAGGGCAAGGAAACGTCCGCCGCGCTGCCCCAATGCGTGTTGGCCAACTTCACATGTCTTCGAAATATTTATTTTTTCTTATTTGTCAGACATGCAGGTTTCCTCACGATGTTTTCTTCCACCGCCGAGCACGTGGTAAATCAGCACTTAAAATTGAAATTAACAATTTCATTGGTGCCGTCGTGGATCGAACCCGGATTTCTCGTGTACTGTGAAACTTACAGCGAGCGCTAACCAGATTTTATGTATTTTTATTTATTTCTTTATTTTCGCAATTTTTCACACAAAATATAGAACAGAACCGTTTTTTGTCTCTATTCTTATTTCTAGCTATAAAAGCAACAAAAATAAGGTATACCGTATACATGTCCCATGCGCAAAAAATACCGTAGACCGGTGTTATTTATAAGTTTAAATATAATTAAGTAAAGTAAATATAAATAATACTGCTAAGTTTAAATTTTATTTTATTTTTCCAATTTTAGTTTTTAATCCAAGATTAAGTTATTAATTACATTAGGTGTACATAGAATGTAAGCGGGTGATGTGTTCGCCAACAAACTGCCCTGCGGTTTGGTGAAAGTGCTATAAGAAACAACCGACTATATTTTGTATAATAAACATTTAAAAAAAACTCTAATCACTCACTCTCATAATCCGATGGGACGGTAAATCAACACGAACGGAGAGATCAGACACAGGACCAAAGGCTTTACGTGTTTTGAGAGACACGGAGGTGGGACTCCGCCAACTTCCTGACTCCGGGCAGCTACTGAAAATTTCTCGAAAAAACGCAATGGTTGATTTTTTGGCCCGATACGGATTTGAACCCGGGACCTCACGATCAGCCGTCGCACTACTACAACCATTAGACCAACGAGGCGGTCAAATTTGAAAATTGTCCCCAGAATATTCAGTATTCGGCATGTGGCCGAATATATTATTTGTTGCAAGTCTACTTTAATATCCCACTACAAAGTATGGGCATAGAATAAATAATAGTACTACGTAGTATAGGCTAAAAGAATAGGTATTTTCTTTTTGTGGGAATAATAGTATATTTTGGGTTATTGAAGCCGTGTTAAAACTGTGGTAACGCTAAATATTAGTGATATTAGACAGTATGGACAATATAATGTTATGAGGTATAATGCACTAATATCTCAATTATGATGTGAGAACTAATTGCGGTTCTGTAATCACACTGTCAATTTTTAAAAGAAAGTATCTAGGTTACCGAACTTATCTCGGCGTTAGAAAAAAATCTCAGGGATTACACCTAGGTATTTAGGAAAACTTGTAAGGAAAATCATTATCTAATCTAAATACAAAATTTCATCCAAGTCGTTTGTGCCATTATAATATTACATATATTTTTTATATACATAATACATAATTATGTATAAAAGTATTAAATGGGTTTTATTGTAATTTAAAATAATTAATATTAAAAAAATTAAATTAAAATCGTTAGTAGATATGGTCGGTCGATAATGATTGTTGGGCATGAGCTTGATTGGTCCAAATAATTATTTTGTGGCTAAAGTGACATAAATATGTTACCTACATAGTTATAAGTCTAAGAGAGATCTACTGTCATGTTCTAGTGCGGTTTATGTGTATTTTCAAATCTCCTTAAAATATTTCCTTCTGAGATAGACAGAATCTCATGTATTTTTCGAAAGTGATGGGATTCGAACTTGATTGCTCGCAAATGAAATTCAGTCTTTTTACATAAATTTAAGTAACAGCCTACATATGCGATGCAATGTTGTAATATAGCCGTCACCATCGAACGGAGATTGATTCAATCTTCTATGTACTGTTATTATTTTATCAGTTTTGAAACTGTCGTTTATTTGAATTGAGACCATGTATAGTACAAGTTAAACAAAAATATAATTTATTTCAGATGTTATTTAGGTTTTTAATTATATTGCTC